GTATATTATTATTAAAAGACCATCCAGGGCACTGAGTGGGGGCTATTTTATCAATCCAAATAAACACAGTAAATATTGACTTTAATGGCCCCCTCTCCTCTCTTTTCTTTCTGGAGGATTCTTTGTGGAGTGCCATACACCTGGGCGTGGGAGATATTTATTTTGTATTCATTCATTCATTTATTTATTTAAATATTTTTACCCCGCCTTTCTATTTAAAATATTCAAGGCGGCTTACAAAAACTAACAAACAAAATACAGATATAGATATATATATATATTTAAAATATGAGAATTTAAAATAGGAGACCCCAGAGGGACATAACCAGCTAAAAACATATAGGCGACGTCTACACTGGCATGATTTTCCAAAAATGCTTTTAACGGAAAAGTTTTCCATTAAAAGCATTTTCGGAAAAGCACGTCTAGATTGGCAGGATGCTTTTCCGCAAAAGCACTTTTTGCGGAAAAGCGTCCGTGGCCAATCTAGACGCGGTTTTCCGCAAAAAAGCCCCAATCGCCATTTTAGCCATCGGGGCTTTTTTGCGGAAAACAGTACTGTGCTGTCTACACTGGCCCTCTTGCGCAAATGATTTGCACAAGGGGGCTTTTGCCCGAACGGGAGCAGCACAGTATTTCCGCAAGAACACACAATCTTACATGAGCTCGTCAGTGTTCTTGCGAAAATTCAAGTGACCAGTGTAGACAGCTGGCAAGTTTTTCCGCAAAATCAGATGATTTTGAGGAAAAACTTGCCAGTCTAGACACAGCCATAGAGAGGAGGAACACACACACATATGGACTCAAATGTTAATAAAAACACGGGTAAAAAGGGTGGTGTTAGCCTGACGCCGAAACAACGCTAGCGTTGGCGCCATGCGAATATCCCGAGGACGAGAATTCCACAGCCTGGGAGCAAAAGCTGAGGATGCCCTGTTCTGCGGAGATGTTATTGAAGACGTGGCGGGGGAGGAGGTCAAGCAGGAGCTTGAATCTGTGAGGAAACTGCTGAGTGGGCCTAGGTCAGCAGAAGGCAGTGTGCTGAATTCACTAGGAGCCTGTCGGCTTGGAAGAGGCACAGGACAGGGGACGCCGTGCTCAGGAGAAGCCCGGGGTTAAAGCAGCGGTGGGCAAAAGGGTTTCCGGGGGCAGGATCCGGCCCGCCTGCTGCTCCCCCACCGCCAGGCCTCAATTGGCTTGGAGGCGGGGGAGCATGCGAAGCCGCCTCCCACCGTGCCAGGAGCACATGGCGCTGTGAAGCACCACGCACTGCTTGCCGGGCTGGAGAAGGCTTCGCACACTCCCCCGCCCCCAGGCCCTGATTGACATGAGGGCGGGGGAGCGTGCCAAGCATCTTCCAGGCCATGGGTGCCTCGTGGGAAGGGGGGACAAAGGGGCTCCCCCACCCCCAGACCAATCATGGTCTAGGGGGTGGGGTAGCCCCGCTCCTTCCTGTTTAAGCCCCGCCCCTTCCACGGTGACCTGGGGCTACTTCAAAAATTTGTGAAGTGGCCCCTGGGCAAAAATTATTGCCCACCCCTGGATCAAAGGAAGGAGGTGCTGTCTGAGGGGGACTGAACTGCGGCAGCAGAACATGCTACTAAGAGCTGACTGGGGACACAGGTTGATGCCTGTAATAAGACTGGGGCGGTGAGGGCAAATCTCTCTCACGCCCAATTCACGGTGCGTCTTCACCCAAAATCCTGCAATGTGCGGATGGCCCACCCCCTCCCGCCAATGAAGCCACTGGGTGAGGAGGGCCACCGGTGCCTCCCAGGAAGCCCACAGCAGCACGCAGCACGCCGGTGTCAGGCCAGCGCTGCCCAAAGGGCCGGTGAACCGCATCCCCTCTGAGGTGTGGCACGTTCTTGCCTCCCGCTGGGCTCACTCGGCGTTGGGCGCACACGGCCCCTTCAGAGAACAGGCCCGGACTGAGGCTCTGAACCCCGCCGCCCTCCTCGTGTTCACTCGCTCCGCGGGAAGGAGAAAGCCACAGGTGACATCTCACAATACCGGGATGGCTTTGAGTGCCATTGACTTGGGATTTTCAATCATAGGCACGCTGGGTATGTCCATGGATGCCAGCGCCGGAAGGCGTCCATTTAATCTCCAACAGACATACCCACGCTAGCGCCGATGCACCGAGAACAGCAGTGGAGACTAGGGATGTACAATTTGGATTATTTCACTAATCGAATAGTCAATCGACTTTTCAACTAGTCAATAAGGGCACTTCTGCCTTTGAAGTGTAGCAACAGCCCCTAGGGGAACACGGGACCAGCGGGGCTCTCAAGCAGTCTCCAGCTGGCCCTGGACTGCACGTGGTCTGGCCCCAGGCTCCATGTGGTGCTGCCGCTTTGAAGCACCGCCCATCTCCCCCCTTGCTGCCTCTTTCTGACAGAAGCACCGAGGGGGGCGGGAAGCGACTAGTCGACTAGTCTGTCGACTATCCAATAAGCATTTGCTCATCGAATAGTCAACTAGTCATTCACATCCCTAGGGGAGACACGGTGGCTTGAGCACCAGACCGGGGCTAGTCACACATGTATGAACCTAGAGCATGGGTTCCCAAACTGGGGGGCGTGCCCCCCCGGGGGGGGTGAAGAAATTCTGGGGGGGGGGCACGAGGCAACCCAGCCCCCCCCCAAGAAAGAGCCTGGTCTGTTTGTCCGCTCGGGCTGGCTGGGGCAGATTTCAAAATGGCCACCTTAAAAGGGCAATGCCTGCTCTGCTCTTAAAAGGCAAAAAAAAAAAAAAAAATTCTCAACAAGTTTTGCTGTTTTTTTGGTGGGGGGGTGAGCATTTCTCAAAAATCTAAAAAGGGGCATGATGCCAAAAAGTTTGGGAACCATTGACCTAGAGCATGGGCGGCGGGTAATATAGGGAAGGGACGGCAATGCCTTCCCAAAACTGCCCACCCTCCCACTGCCCAGGATGCCCTCTTTGCTTACATCTTCCAGCTCCACTTTGGGATCTTTGTAGTGGTCCACTGATGCATCATGGCCTACTGGCCCCTCTATGGCGGGACTGACTTCTGCATGCCTAAGTGGGAGGAGATACTCTTCCATTTTCTGCTGGTTCCTGCTCTGCTGCCCACTGGGACAGTGAGACTAAGGGATCTCGGGATGTTCAGAGGTTTGGGGGGAGGTAACCTGGGTCGAGGGCCAGGTTTGGCTCCAGAGGCGGGAAGGTTGCAGAAGGGGCGGGGCCTCAGGTGGAAGGGGCGGGGCTGAGGGTTGTGTTCACGCACCGCCCGTGATGTAGAGGCTCAGATGGGCTCATACATGGAGTGGCTAGCCCATCCCGAATCTCGCTCCATCATGGCCACGCTTCTGTTCTAGCGCACCAGCTCAATCAAAGCTAGCACAAGCTAACAATTCTGCCTCCCGGCCCCAGTGCAGACATACCCACAGTTACTTGGAAACTGGCCATTCTGTGTCCCAAAATCCACCCCCCCCCCCCCCCGCATAACAGCCCGGCCTTGTATTACACATTTAGCTGTACCTATATGACACTTCAATACAGCAGACACCTTTTAAAACACAATCTGGAACAGAGGAACTTAAACTCCAGCTACGAACTTTGGATCCTGGAGATCTGGATTTCAAACATCCAAAAGGTGTTGGATCTGCAAGTGTGGTGTAGATCGTTGTAAGAACGTAGACAGTTTGCGAAATGCAGATCCAGGGTCTAATTCCAAACCCTCCTCGTTAGCTCTGAAGGTTTGGGGGCGATTCAGTGTGGCGGGAGGTTTTTGATCAGTTGGATCACCAATATAAAATACAGCCATGCAGGTGTCAGGTAAAGGCTGGGTGTTAATGGTTCCGATGTTGATATTTCTGCATTTCTCTGCTCCTCGACATGTTTGCCATGTGTGGTACGTTCCTTGCTACCATCTACCGTGACGGTAGAGCAGAGAGTGAGCAATCTTCTACATCTGTGCTATTGTTTGACTCTGTGGATTTGTGTCTTCTGGCAGGTGTGTCCTCTGTGGCGTCCCTCATGTCCCTGGCTTGGGTGCTAGCGTCCTATCACAAGCTGCTTCGGGACTCTAGGGACGACAAGAAGAGTATGAGCTACAGAGGGGCCCTCATCCATCTCTTCTGGCGCCTCTTCACCATCTCATCCAGAGTTATCTCTTTTGCCCTCTTTGCTTCCATCTTCCAGCTCTACTTTGGGATCTTTGTAGTGGTCCACTGGTGCGCCATGGCCTTCTGGATCATCCATGGCGGGACTGACTTCTGCATGTCTAAGTGGGAGGAGATCCTCTTCAACATGGTGGTAGGGATTGTGTACATTTTCTGCTGGTTTAATGTCAAGGAGGGGAGGACTCGATACCGAATGTTTGCGTATTACACCATAGTGTTGACAGAGAATGCTGCCTTGACGCTCCTTTGGTATTTTTACAGAGATCCTACAACTACTGACTCCTATGCCGTGCCAGCACTGTGTTGTGTCTTTCTTAGCTTTGCTGCTGGGATAGCTCTGATGCTCTTCTATTACGGGGTGCTGCATCCCATGGGGCCGAGAGCTAAGATTTTTGCCAGCTCCTGTTGCGCCGAGCTGCTCTGGGGCATCCCTTTGCCTCCGGAGGCGGAGCCCATGGCATCCGAAACGCCTGGGTACCAGGGGGGCCAGGCCACGCCCACCAGAGCGGTCACGGAGCAACAAGAGGAACTCACGGCTGATACTTGCTTGCCCGTTTTCCAGGTGAGAGCAATGGTGCCATCTACTCCATCTGGGCGAGCCTATTACCCCGAAGGCCCCCTCATTAAAATTGACATCCCAAGAAAGAAATATCCTGCCTGGGATGCTCATTTTGTAGACAGGCGGTTAAGAAGAACTATCAACATTCTCCAGTATGTTACCCCCACCGCTGTAGGTATTAGGTATAGAGACGGACCTCTCTTGTATGAATTGCTACAATATGAGTCTTCACTTTAAAGCTCCTTTAAAAAAAAAAAGTAAAAGAGGGGATCTTATTTTTGTTTACGGTAAACACAGATCATGAAACAAACACAAACCTTCAGATAAGCTTTCTTTCTGGCTGCTGTATGTATAAAAAAAAAAGATAATCTCTATGTTTTGTAAGTAAAAACAAAAAGAAAAACTTTTCTTTTGTTTTTTACACACAAGAAACAGTATTTCAACTTCCACACCTATGATCCACAGGTGGAACCACGTCAGAGTTTTATATCTTACACCAAGTGTAGAACATTCTATAGGGGATTGGTGCTGATTGAAAAATAAAAACAAACAAACAAACAAACAAACCTACAACTGCCTTATGCCCTTAGAGGTGCTGAGTTTCATTAAGTACTGTCACCTTTCTCATGCAAAACTCTTGGGAGATTTTATGCCAGGAAAAATTTAAAAACCTAAATACAAAACTTAAAAAAAGAAATAAAAAAAAACAAGAAAACAACAACAAAAGAGAAACATACAAAAGATATTGCTGCTCTTATTGGATATAGGTGAACAAGAAAAATATCTAAAGATGAGAAAGCAAAGCAAGGAAGCCCCAAAAGACCTTGAATCTTAGATGGTTGACAGAGACGATCAGGGCTGTAACAGAATTTGGCAATGTGTTTATAATATAGTTTGGTGACCACGTATGCCAGCCAGATCAAACCATGTTATAAATGCAGCCCCCTGATAAAATTGTTTCCCTAGTGTCAAAGGGCCATATGTGACAGTCCGCTGGACTCTGTTTGCATCAAAGTCTCATAGTAATACCGTACCTGATCCCACTCAACACAGTTTTATTCAGCGTAACTCCATTAATTTCAGTGGACTTACACCTGATTCACACTGATGGGAGTGGGCCCAGAAAAAGGCCTTCCATCTGGATTTCTGGAAAATAATTCTTCTAAATTATACACCAAAATATAATTCGAAAGTAGATTTTCATATATCTAATAAAATATTTCAGTAATAATAAAACTCAGCATAGTAGCAAAAAGAAAGTCAATTTAAAGGCACAATACTTGATCGGTGACTGGCAAAATAATTTGGCCTACTGTATCATTTTAAGGCTGTGAAAAGGCATACATGTATTATTTGTAATATTGTGTAAGGCCTGTTATGTCTCATTCAGCGTGAGCCTTAAAGTGATAGTAAAGCATTCTGTTTTGTTTTTTTGTTTTTTGTTTTTTAAAAGGGAAAAAATTAGGATAAAATCTTCAAACAGTAATAACTTGTAACTGACGCTTTTCTAAAGATGATTTGGTGCTTTGTATTTTTGTTGATGTTGTTGTTGTGATTTAGCTGAGAATTGTTTAACTCGGTGCATTTGGGGAACCACTGATAAATGTTTTATGTCACCCTCTGCTGTAAGTACATGGCAAGAAATAACACCATAGGAAATCGAGAGCGTAGCAAGATCATCACCGTTTAGCTTAAGAAGTCTCGCTGCAAGGAGATGCTTCGACCTTCCTTGATGGCAAATCTTTAGAAGGATATCTGCTAGAGGTCTGAGACATTTCCAGATAATCTTTTTGGTGCGCGAAGGTATCCATTTATTTATTTCTGTGTTGAAGTTTCTTTGTTTCGAGTTACATCATGGGTGGTGTATATGTAATTCCATTTTTGGTTTCAAGAGTATTGCTCCTTAAAAAGAATAGTCCCATTCCGGGGCATTTTTTCAACCCCTGTACTTCGGGGGAGGGAGGGAAACAACAACAACAACAAAAGATATTTTTAAGTGAATACTGTAGTACTTTCTGTGTGTGATTGCAATTTTTTATTCCAGAAATACTGTAACTGTCTAGGGTGCAAAATTCCCATGCTGATCTATTCTGAAGAGAATATCAACATGGGGAAAAGATTTTTTTTAATTACGATTATGATTTTTTATTTGATGAACCCTTTTTATTAATTACAGTAGGTATTTAAAGAAACTAGTACACGTTTTATATACCAGTTTTAAAAAGCTGAATGCTTTCTTCACCTGAATATACCTGAATGGAAACCATTTTTTTCAGTCGGCGATGCTATGTGCTGGGTTCTGAGTGCCGATCAAATATTTCACAGGCCTCTCTGTGGAGGGGAGGGCTTATTACGCCAAACTACAGACTCACAGCAAAGTTTATAAAAAGCCAAATTGTCACAGGTACTGTAATTCCCGGTCGCTCTATTTCTGTTAAATGTTTCCAGGCTCTGATTACAACCTGGCCGATGGCCACATTTTCACACGAAGGGTTGGATTCGTACTGTTTTTCCCCTCCCTAATTAATGGTCCGTTCTTTTGTCAGAAGAGATTTCATTTACCGTCTTCATTATTTGCGGCACAGAACCATGTCACCGGTCAGTCATTTTCATTGCATTTCTTCTCCAGTCCGTGTGACATCTCCTGCCAAATGAGGTAATTTTGTGAAGTGAACTTAATGATTGATATCTGCCTTCAGGTTGCTAGCTGCAAGTTCCCACTCTTATTGTAAGGACTGGCCACATTAGAGAGGCATATGGACTGCCCATTATCTGTGCTAAGCCTGCCAAATAGAATCACATATCATAGAACTGGAAGGGACCTCGAGGGGTCACCAAGTCCAGCCCCCTACTCTCACGAGATCATCCCTGAAAGATGTCTATCCAACCTGCTCTGAAATATCCACAACCTCCCTAGGCAATTTATTCCCATGCGTAACCACCCTGACAGGAAGTTTTTCCTAATGTCCAACCTAAACCTCCCTGGCTGCAATTTAAGCCCCTTGCTTCTTGTCCTGTCCTCAGAAGTTAAGACAAACAATTTTTATCCCTCCTTCTTGTAACAACATTTTAAGGTACTTACAAGCTGCTATCATGTCCCCTTTCAGTCTTCTCTTTTCCAGACTAAACACATCCAGTTCTTTCAATCTTCCCTCAGAGTTCATGTTTTCTATACTTTTAATCATTCTTGTTTCTCTTCTCTGGACAAGACCAGGCATTTATTTTTTACTCCAAATATTTACCATAAACATCATTATTAGAGGTTTACTCTATTAGACACTGACTCTTTGCTCTGTGCATCATCTCCTTTGTACAGAAGTTACTCCTTAAAGCCCTTTCCAATGCTGCTCTTCTCTACACTTGAGCCCATTTCACAGGCATAGTCATTAAAGGTGGGAAAAATCTTCTCTGTCAACTAGTCCATCATTCCAAAGGAAGGGCGTGTGGGGAGAATCGCGAGAATTGCTCTGTCTCAGCCTATTTGAATGGCTCCGATGCAGGGGCTTCCCCCATTTCTATTGCAACTAAGTCTCAAGTTATGGAACACTCGGTATCTGGTACTGCTTCAAGTCATCCGATGGCCTCTCTCCCGTCCCTAGACATCAGTAAAGTCACTCACTGTAAATGTTCCAAGGGGTCCTGTCCTCCTTCCTGTTAGATAGGCGGACAGAAAGATAGATAGCTCTGTCATAGGCAAGAGAGCCAACAGAACTGTTGGGCCCCTGTGCAAGGTGGGACAGCTGGCTCCATATTCCCAGAAGGGGTGGAGCCTCGCATGGAAGGGGCGGGGCTGGGGCAGCCAGCCGTCAGCACTGTGCTGCCCATCCTACCAGTGTGCTGCGCAGCACTCTGGCGGAGATTTAAAGGGCCCTCGGCTCCAGCCACGACTCTCCAGTAGTGGTGATGGCAGCCAGGAGCCATGGGCCCTTGCCCCCTATTGGCGGGCTTTAGCATAGGTTCAGAAAAGACTGTGCAGGTCACATGGGCGGGTTCAGAGGGTGGCTCCCACTCAACTTGGGTGTCAGCGCTGGCGACTCCCCACGCCAGGCAGGAACAAAAGCCGAAGCCCTAATGATTTAACCAGTTCCTGAGAATGTTCGGTGATGGCGCCTTGACCGCGGGGCCGACAGCCCCTTTTGCTCCCCTGTCGGTGAGCCTGTCCAAGTCCAAATGACTGAGACCTTTGCGACTTGCATTCCTTCCTCTGTACGTCGCTTTGGCTCCCCAGGACTGCACAAACAAGACTGGCTCCTTGCAGAGGTGTGGCTGAAAGGGGTGCAGTTCTCCCTCCATACGTCTGACTGCATTGACCCTCCTTACGCCTCCGGAGTGCGAGACCCCTGCATGCCTCCCCCCACGCCCCAGAGCATGCGCTTGGACTCCCTGCGGCAGGAAGAGACAGGAGCAGTGGTAAGCTTGAGGGGTTGGGTGGGGCTTGGCTCGGGGGGCATGGGGGGAAGGTTGTTAAAGAGGTGTGGTCTCTCAGGGTAGGGGTGTGGCTTTGGGCAGAAGGGGCGGGGCTTGGGCTTGCCTTCCCCATCTGGGCCTTGACCTGCTGCCCATGCTCTTGGGAATACTCTTATCCGACATTCCTGAGATTAGGCGTTTGCTTCAGAGCCTTGTGGGCCAAGGGCCTTACTCCTCTGTGTTCTGTCTGATGCTGTTATTATAAGTCTCTTCACCCTGCCTCTCCTTTTCCCAAGCCGGGGGCACTGTACAGAACAGGAACCCTTTGTCTGACCTTTGTCAGTATCGAACCCCATGCCTCCTTCAGCTTTAAAGTGCTTCTCTTCTTTGCTTATATGGTGTCCCCTCCATTGATGGTTGTATTGTTTCCCTTTTTGATCCCCCTGCATCTCTGTGCTCTGCATGGTAGATTAGTTAGCATCTTCCCACCTCCCCCAGTCCCTCCAGAATTGGTTTTAAAATGCTGGAAAGAGCAACATTGAATCCACTGTAGTTCAGAAATCTGTCAAAGTTCAGAAGGCTTCAGACGCATGCAGTCCAAGCAATGAATTAGTGATTTATGTATTGATCTGGCATGCTCATGGGAAGTTACACGTGTATATGCTCCATCTCCTCCTACTAGATCATGTAGGGTGGCTCTGGTCGGTTCCCTCTACAGCTTCCATTCACGGAACATCTTTTAGCTCCGAGGCTGTGTTCTTTAGTGCTGAGGGCCATCCGCTCCATTAATGATGCTGACACCCATCGGGTGTTTATGTCTGTCAGTTTCTAATGTGCCCAGTATCTGCATGCATCTACCCTGAAGACGCATCTGCCCATGACCCTGTCATACTTCGCTGCACATGCAAGATTTGCATCGTTTCTAAATGTACCCAAACCAAGTTGCCGATGTGCAGCTGTCTTACATGATTGCCGAGAGAAAACGTTGGCAGAACACCGATTTAAAGGTCAATATTTTAATAGCTTATTTAGGGCTATTTAGCCAGGTCGACTCATTCATTTCTCCTGCTGCCAAAACCGGTGAACGTTTTTTGGATTTTAAAAAGCAAGGTAGCTGCAATCTCACAAAACAGTCCACCCTCAGGCTTAATCTTGCATCTTGGAGAGACTGTGAGCTTGGTCCTTGTCACAATGAAAAGGAAAATGTTACCTTTGATGACAGTGTCTTTAAAGCATGAGATTCGCTTCACAATTTATCTCTGTTTCCATTCCTTACTCGGAACATGCACAAAACCAACCGTCATGAACGTTCTTGTAGCAGGATCACCCCCCTTCAGAAAATGTGGCCGAATGTGGCTCCCACCGGGTTTGAATGAAAGCCGGGATGTGCTTTGAAAAGGAAAACTCACGACTGTACATCTGTGAAGCCTTCTAGTGCCTGCTTGCTGTGCCGCTTATTGCAGGAGGCAATTTGGAAGCTGCCAGGGTCTGTGGGAAATTGTGGAGGCAGGCTTTTCCCTGGGGTACCTAGTCTTTGGTGAGTTGTCTGCTGGGCTCGGTTCTACTCCAGTTTGGTCACAACAAAAACGCATCTGCTGAAGGATGCGCGTGTGAAAACCAAGGCGGTGGATTTTTTTGTTTTCCATACTGGTAGGCAGTCGAGGCGATGTATGCTTACCTGCAAACTTTTCTGTTGCTGCTGAGTGCATGCTGTCCTTCCAACAATTGTCCACAGCCCTGGCGTTTCTGGGGGTGGGGAATAACCCCAGGGTGCGATTGTTCTGTGAGGGATTTTTCCCCTTGGTGCTCAGGTGTATTCTGGTGCAGAGACTCTCAGCCAAGGGTGAATTTGGAGGTTCTGAAGCTATCCCAAATAAACGTGGGCAACCTTTCACTGTGTGCAGAATGCATTTCCACACCATCAGGTACAGGCTCTTGCACTTTTTTCCATGAGCGCACTGCAAATTGTTTTGTTGTTCTTCTGTGTTTAAACGTGGAGATACCACTACGGCAACGCTTTTCTGTTATGCAGTGGGTTGGGAAGGGGGGATTGCACCGAACCGAATGCCCGTCTGCATTCAGCCCGTGTCCGTTACTTAAAGCTGGAGCGCTAGGGCCGTTGGTATCATGTTAAATAAAACAGCAGATCGCTGCATTTGTTCCCACAGGATTTTCACTGATGCGGAGGTTGACAATGTATGCACTATAAAAATCGTTGTAAGGGATCGGGCCCTCAAAACACATAGCCCAATTGGAAGCCGCAATAAAAACAAATAATCATGTTGATGAAATAATGCAGAGGGTTGTTTCCTGTTGCATATTAAAAACATTTGCAAGCTGTCAAAACTGAATGGAGAATAAGCAGTATTTTCCCATCCCTTTGGGACACATGCAGCCAGGTTGCTGTCCTGGCCAACCTGAGATGTTATACCATGCTGAGTTCTTTGGTGTTATGTATTGGTTTGTTTGTCAGATGGTATTGTAAGGCCAGGGTGGAGAGGGAACATGGTCAAAAAAATTGTAGCAGATGATGGGGTGACAGGACTCTTGGGTGTTATTCCCAGCTCTGCCACAGACTTGCTGTGTGACCTTAGGCAAGTCACTTAACCTTTCTGTGCCTACAGTTTACCCATCTGTAAATGGGTGTAATAATACTTACCTACCTCACAGGGGTGTTGTGAGGCTTAAGTAATTCTTTGTGAAGCACTTTGGGGACAGGTGCTGTGAAGTGCAAAGTATTATTATTACTGGGTTTGTGTTATTGGGAACGGAAGGGCAAAGGTTGTTTTACAATGTGGCAAAAGGAAACCGAATTATGCAGTACATGTATGGGTCCAGAAAGCTGTCTGAAGTCTTTTCTCTCCCCAACAGCCAGGAGCGGAGGCTGTTGTGTGTAATCTAAATAGAAAAGCCTTGCTTTCTCGATCATGTGTAATAATGCCTTCCTAGCACTGTTTGCAATATTATTTTTGTACACAACTGGTGATTATTTCATCTCTCTTTCTGGAAACTTGAAACTCAAAGTCGATGAAATCATTTAGAAACTGGACAGATTCCTTAACCGATACTTGAATTTTTGGAAGCTGTACTCAGCTTCCATCTGAATACAGTGAAATACTTGCTCACGCTGCTTTGGAATAGCCTTGACTTTATTTGGGAGGCTGGTACGCTTTACTCAGCATATGGGGGACAGCAGAGGGTTATTTGGTTTTTTTTGAGGTTTTTTTTTTTTTTTTTTTTGCCTTTAAGTTTCTTGACTGCCTAGCACAATACTAATCACAGTTTACTCTGTTCTACAATAGCTTTTGGAGAACTATATTTCCTTACACAAAGAGCGGAAAGACTAAAGAGCGGAAAGAATAAAATAGACACATCAAAAACACTGCACGCTGCAAATGGCTCACGTCCATTTCTTCTCCAGGTGCTTGCTTTCAAGGAGTAAAAGCGATGTAATGCC